CCATTAAACAAATATGAAGCCTAGGAACCATATAAAGGAAAAACATGCATCGCTCCCTCCTGAAACCCTCCTGAAGTATTACACCCAGACAGACTTGACAAGTGTTTGTGCTCCATAAGCAGACATCTGAGATTCTCTCTCTCTCTCTCTCTCTGAGACTCGGACTCGCGCAGGCCGATTCTGAAATACCTACCAACAGGACAAAAAAAGGCTCCCCTGGATTTCAAAGTGAATGCCTTTCTTGGGATCGGGTGGTCCAGCACGTGGCGCGAGAGACATTTAGAATTGTTGGTGGCAGAGCATCAAAACTCATCCAGGTTCAATTCAACACAGAGCTAGATAGCTTCCTGACTGTGTAAACGTAGGCCTGCAAGGGAAGATTAACACACAGTGCCTTCAGAAAGTATTCATACCCCTTGACTTATCCCACATTTTGTTGTTACAACCTGAGTAAAAAAATTGATTACATATATTTTTTTGCTCACCCATCTACACACAATACCCCATAATGACAAAGTGAAAACATATTTTTAGAAATGTATTCAAATTTATTAAAAGTGAAATACAGAAATATCTAATTTACATAAGTATTCACACCCCTGAGTCAATAGATGTTAGAATCAACTTTGGCAGCGATTACAGCTGTGAGTCTTTCTGGGTAAGTCTCTAAGAGCTTTGCACACCTGGATTGTATAATATGTGCACATTAATCAAGACAGCCATTTTCAAGTCTTGCCGTAGTTTTTCAAGCTGATTTTAAGTCAACTTTAACTAGGCCACTCAGGAACATTCAATGTCGTCTTGGTAAACAACTCCAGTGTATATTTTGCCTTGCGTTTTAGTTTATTGTCCTGCTGAAAGGTGAATTTGTCTCCCAGTGTTTGTTGGAAAGCAGACTGAACCAGGTTTTTCTCTAGGATTTTGATTTTGCCTGTGCTTAGCTCCATTCCATTTATTTTTTATCCTGAAAAACTCCCCTGTCCTTAAGGATTACATGCATACCCATAACATGATGTAGCCACCACTATGCTTGAAAATATGGAGAGTGCTACTCAGTAATGTTTTATACTGTATATTTGGGGCAAATCCAATAACACTTTGTATTCAGGACAAAAAGTTAATTGCTTTGCCAAATGTTTTGCAGTATTACTTTAGTGCCTATTTGCAAACATGATGCATGTTTTGTAATATTTGAATTCTGCACAGGCTTCCTTCTTTTCACACTGTCATTTAGGTTAATATTGTGGAGTAACTACAATGTTGTTGATCCATCCTCTATTTTCTCCTATCACAGCCATTAAACTCTGTAAGTGTTTTAAAGTCACCATTGGCCTCGTGGTGAAATCCCTGAGCCGGTTTCCTTCCTTCTAAAAACGTAATTCCACTTGGACATTATGGGGTATTGTGTGCAGGCCAGTGACACAAACTCAATTTAATCAATTTTAAATTCAGACTGTAACACAACAAAATGTGGACAAGGTCAATGGGTGTGAACACTTTCTGAAGGCGCACTGCATGATAAAGGAACATCTTCTGCCATTGTATCAACATTTACCTCTGTGAGGTTTTTGACCTTACAAGGTGTTGTCTTTTTCTGCCTCGGCATACACTACCAGTCAGAAGTTTGGACACACCTACTCATTCAAGGGTTGATCTTTATTTTCTACATTGTAGAATAATAGTGAAAACATCAAAACTATGAAATAACACATACAGTGGGGGAAAAAAAGTATTTAGTCAGCCACCAATTGTGCAAGTTCTCCCACTTAAAAAGATGAGAGGCCTGTAATTTTCATCATAGGTACACGTCAACTATGACAGACAAATTGAGAGAAAAAAATCCAGAAAATCACATTGTAGGATTTTTAATGAATTTATTTGCAAATTATGGTGGAAAATAAGTATTTGGTCACCTACAAACAAGCAAGATTTCTGGCTCCCACAGACCTGTAACTTCTTCTTTAAGAGGCTCCTCTGTCCTCCACTCGTTACCTGAATTAATGGCACCTGTTTGAACTTGTTATCAGTATAAAAGACACCTGTCCACAACCTCAAACAGTCACACTCCAAACTCCACTATGGCCAAGACCAAAGAGCTGTCAAAGGACACCAGAAACAAAATTGTAGACCTGCACCAGGCTGGGAAGACTGAATCTGCAATAGGTAAGCAGCTTGGTTTGAAGAAATCAACTGTGGGAGCAATTATTAGGAAATGGAAGACAGACAAGACCACTGATAATCTCCCTCGATCTGGGGCTCCACGCAAGATCTCACCCCGTGGGGTCAAAATGATCACAAGAACAGTGAGCAAAAATCCCAGAACCACACGGGGGGACCTAGTGAATGACCTGCAGAGAGCTGGGACCAAAGTAACAAAGCCTACCATCAGTAACACTACGCCGCCAGGGACTCAAATCCTGCAGTGCCAGACGTGTCCCCCTGTTTAAGCCAGTACATGTCCAGGCCCGTCTGAAGTTTGCTAAAGTGCATTTGGATGATCCAGAAGAGGATTGGGAGAATGTCATATGGTCAGATGAAACCAAAATAGAACTTTTTGGTAAAAACTCAACTCGTCGTGTTTGGAGGACAAATAATGCTGAGTTGCATCCAAAGAACACCATACCTACTGTGAAGCATGGGGTTGGAAACATCATGCTTTGGGGCTGTTTTTCTGCAAAGGGACCAGGACGACTGATCCGTGTAAAGGAAAGAATGAATGGGGCCATGTATCGTGAGATTTTGAGTGAAAACCTCCTTCCATCAGCAAGGGCATTGAAGATGAAACGTGGCTGGGTCTTTCAGCATGACAATGATCCCAAACACACCGCCCGGGCAACGAAGGAGTGGCTTCATAAGAAGCATTTCAAGGTCCTGGAGTGGCCTAGCCAGTGTCCAGATCTCAACCCCATAGAAAATCTTTGGAGGGAGTTGAAAGTCCGTGTTGCCCAGCGACAGCCCCAAAACATCACTGCTCTAGAGGAGATTTGCATGGAGGAATGGGCCAAAATACCAGCAACAGTGTGTGAAAACCTTGTGAAGACTTACAGAAAACGTTTGACCTGTGTCATTGCCAACAAAGGGTATATAACAAAGTATTGAGAAACTTTTGTTATTGACCAAATACTTATTTTCCACCATAATTTGCAAATCAATTCATTAAAAATCCTACAATGTGGTTTCTGGATTTTTGTTCTCATTTTGTCTGTCATAGTTGACGTGTACCTATGATGAAAATTACAGGCCTCTCTCATCTTTTTAAGTGGGAGAACTTGCACAATTGGTGGCTGACTAAATACTTTTTTTCCCCACTGTATGGAATCATGTAGTAACCAAAAAAATTATATTTGATATTTGAAATTCTTCAAATAGCCACCCTTTGCACTTGATGACAGCTTTGCACACTCTTGGCATTCTCTCAACCAGCTTCACCTGGAATGCTTTTCCAACAGTCTTGAAGGAGTTCCCACATATGCTGAGCACTTGTTGGCTGCTTTTCCTTCACTCTGCAGTCCGACTCATCCCAAACCATCTCAATTTGGTTGAGGTCGGGGGATTGTGGAGGCCAGGTCATCTGATGCAGCACTCCATCACTCTCCTTCTTGGTCAAATAGCCCTTACACAGCCTGGAGGTGTGTTGGGTCATTGTCCTGTTGAAAAACAAATGATAGTCCCACTAAGCCCAAACCAGATGGGATGGCGTATCACTGCAGAATGCTGTGGTAGCCATGCTGGTTAAGTGTGCCTTGAATTCTAAATAAATCACAGACAGTGTCACCAGCAAAGCACCCCCACACCATAACACCACCACCTCCATGCTTTACGGTGGGAAATACACATGCAGAGATCATCCGTTCACCCACACCGCGTCTCACAAAGACAGCGGTTGGAACCAAAAATCTCCAATTTGGACTCCAGACCAAAGGACAAATGTCCACCGGTCTAATGTCCATTGCACGTGTTTCTTGGCCCAAGCAAGTCTCTTCTTCTTATTGGTGTCCTTTAGCAGTGGTTTCTTTGCAGCAATTCGACCATGAAGGCCTGATTCACACAGTCTCCTCTGAACAGTTGATGTTGAGATGTCTGTTATTTTTATTTGGGCTGCAATTTCTGAGGCTGGTAACTCTAACTTATCCTCCTCATGAGAGCCAGTTTCATCATAGCGCCTGATGGTTTTTGCGACTGCACTTGAAGAAACGTTCAAAGTTCTTGAAATCTTCCGTATTGACTGACCTTCATGTCTTAAAATAATGATGGACTGTCGTTTATCTTTCCTTATTTGAGCTGTTCTTGCCATTATATGGACTTGGTCTTTTACCAAATAGGGCTATCTTCTGTATACCACCCCTACCTTGTCACAACACAACTGATTGGCTCAAAAGCATTAAGATGGAAAGAAATTCCACACATGAACTTTTAAGACGGCACACCTGTTAATTGGCACTCCAGGTGACTACCTCATGAAGCTGGTTGAGATAATGCCAAGGGTGTGCAAATGTGTCATCAAGGCAAAGGGTGGCTATTTGAAGTATCTCAAATATATTTTGATTTGTTTAACACTTTTTTGTTTACTATATGATTCCATATGTGTTATTTCATAGTTTTGATGTCTTCACTTTTACTCTACAATGTAGAAAATAATAAAAATAAAGAAACACCCTTGAATGAGTAGGTGTTCTAAAACTTTTGACCGGTAGTGTATATATATATTTTGCATTGTTGGGAAGTAAGCATTTCACTGTTAGTCTACACCTATTGTTTACGAAATGTGACAATTCAAATTTGATTTGGAGGAATACACTTTATTAGTCCCTTGATTTTATATGAAAATGGATTGACACAACATGTCCTGCATGATAAACGTCTTAATTTCTAATGATCGGTCTTTCATTATCTCTCCCCAATATGGCCCTGCTTTACTTTTACAGCAAAATATTGTACCCTGCTCTTAGTGTAAGATAAACTCAAGTGTGACACATGTTCCTCTCTCTTCCCCCCATCAGAAAAGCCCATGCCGTACGCCCACTCTTCCTTTGAGAATGGCCTGGCCCAACTCACAGTCCAAGGTGCCCTGCCAGAGGATGAGGGCCAGTACACGATTGTCGCTGAGAACAGCCATGGGAGAGCCGTGTGCACTGTCAAAGTCATCGTCAAAGGTGGGCCTGGGAGCCTCTACAGTGGCCAGGATTCTCTGGTTGTGTTTACACAGGCAGCCCAATTCTGATATTTTTCCACCAGTTGGTCTTTTAACTAATCAGATCAGATCTTTTGCCAATAATTGGGCAAAAGATCAGAATTGGACTGCCTGTGTAAACGCAGCCTCAGAGTAGGAGTGCTGATCTAGGATCAGCTCCCTCCTGTCCATGTAATCTTATTTATTGTCATCTAAAAGGCAAAACTGATCTAGATCAGCACCCCTACTCTGAGACGCTTGATACATCCAGACCCAGATGTTTCTTTATCCTTTGCATCTTTGAGAAAATATGCATTTAATCTTTGTGATGGATGTATCAGATATTTCCCAGAGGACTGCCCCAATAGAGCATATAATATGCATCTAATTATTTCTCAATATGATGCTTATTACATGTACTTTTGTAGTTCCCCTATTAGTCCCCGAAGACCTATAGACCATTTTCTGACTTTCTGAGTTATTTTTTTCAGGACATGGAAAAAGTCTGCCGTGCTAAAATTACTCTGATCTAGGGGAATGCCCAATGAATATGTTCTTTTGATAACTGTGTTTAGATTTTACGTTTTTGAAAATCTAAACACACATCCATACCAAGCTGACAAATGCTATCAACATGTCATATCTATATACAGTATTTATATCATACTCTCAGGCTATTTTAAGTCTTTGCAATGTTTTGGCTAAATTGAGAATTCTCTCAATCCATGAGATAGGAAATATGCTTATCTTTTCAGAAGAATGAGCATTTGACTGTTTGCTAAAGCCCTGAAATGTCTCTATTGCGAGTACTTTGAGCTCCTTTGATAAGTAGTGCTACTCTAAGTTAATAGCTATTTAGGGCTCCAATGTTGCATTTCAGGAAACATATGCTCTCTGTTCCAGCATGCATTTTGTGTTTGTCCCAAATGGCACCCTATTTCCTTAAGTAGTGCACCACTTTTGACCATGGCCCTGATCAAAAGTAACGCACTATATAAGGAATTGGGGACCATTTGGGACGAAATCCTTGTCTATCAGCACACACAGGGCTTCATGGTGGAGGTTCAGCTTTATGTTTTGCTGGGGTAAACATTTGAAATACCATCATTTTCCCACACAGACAGTGCCACCACACATGTACTGTGAGTTAAGGATGCAGCACAGGCTGACCCTGACAGACAGATGGAGGGATATACTGCTAGTGTGACTGCTAGTACACCAACCATCTTGTTCATACATTAAGAACTAATGGCACACATTCATATTTAGTAGCAAAGAGAGCTAGAGTAGAGTGAGAGTGAAGGGTGTGAGAGAGAGAGAATAACAATAACAACTTAAAGGACATCCACAATCAACAAATGTGGTAAAGGAATCTGTTTGTAAACACTTTCTATAAAGTACATTTTCTATAAAGTCCTTTTATAATCCCTTTATAACACACTTATGTGTAACAGTATGACACTGATTATAAGCGTCCATAGTAATCTGTATCTACAGATTAACCTTCACTCCGATCTGATAAATAGTACCTGAGTAAAGACTCTTTGCCTGTGTCTGTCACACACATCACTTATTTAGCTGCAGAACAATGCTTAATGCAGATGAGCAATCTGCAAGCCAAGTGACCGTTGATTTGCTTTGCAAGTTGGAATCATGACAACACTGAACCTGTGAAAAGAAGTAGATGAGTGGATTGGTGCCAGTCTAATTGATACCAGCGTAAGAGGTAGGGTGAGTCTGCTATGTTCAATAGGGATATTGTGGAAGAAGAGCCATAGCAGTGTTAGCTGTAAGTTAAGATAATCATGCATGTATCTACAGTATATGAATACTGTATATATAATAATAATAATATGCCATTTAGCAGACGCTTTTATCCAAAGCGACTTACAGTCATGCGTGCATACATTTTTGTGTATGGGTGGTCCCGGGGATCGAACCCACTACCTTGGCGTTACAAGCGCCGTGCTCTACCAGCTGAGCTACAGAGGACCACAATGGTGTGATGGTTTATTTTTACAATAAGTGCCATTTATGTGGGAAATGCTCCATTCTTATATTGAATATTTTGGAATATTGCATGCCGCAGGATTGGTAGAGATTGTCCCACGTAGCTAGGATCCCTCCATTATTAGCTTTTGTTTAAAGTCATGATTTTGTGTGATGTGTAAACTGTTAGGAAGGCTCCTCGGATTACTAGAGGCTGAGTCCCAAATAGAACCCTATTCCCTACATAGCACACTACTTTTGACCAGGGCTGACCAGAATTTGGAATGCTGGCTGGGTCAGCAGTGAAGCAGGGCTGTTTAAGCAGCAGTGCTGATGGAAACATACTGGAGTTGCCTTGGATCTCCCTCTGGCATGCTGGATATGCATACAGACAGTGGGCTGTGTTATGACAAGCCTGCGTCCCTGTCTGTTGGGTCCTGACGTCCACAGGGTTAGAACCATTTAGATTTATGAACTTGGGGTGGGTGGGGGGAGGGGGGTTGACTACGTAGAACCAAACACCATACATGGTGAGCATGAATCAAGGAGCGAGGGCCAAAAAGTTCCCCTTGGTGTCTCGTTCTCTCTCTCTCTCTCTCTCGTACTCGTTCTCTCTCTCACAGCGAGGCTGAACTGTTTGGATGCCCAGGCTACCACGCTGTAACAGCGTGAAGCGAACCCATGCACATGCGCAGATAATGTGTGAGAGCGAAGTCTTGCGTCTCGCTCATCTCAATATCTGCGGTGCTGTTCGTTGCAATGTCCTTTAAGGACTAAAGTGTAGTGATGAGTCAAGTAATTATATGACTCTCAAAGACCTTGGCAGGAACATCGCCCCTATGGTCGTCTTTAATGAGATTATTCCAGTGTTTGCATATTCAGGGCATGTACCTTGCATGTTTGCCAAGAACATCACAATATGGGGAGTTGACTACGTAGAACCAAAAACCATACATGGTGAGCATGAATCAAAGAGCGAGGACCAAAATGCTGTTAATGTTCAGGATGTGTCTAGTATTCATAGTCTGCATTCTAAATGGCACCATATTCCCTATGTAGGACAGTACTTTTTACCAGGGCCCATAGGGCTCTGGTCAAAGGTAGTGTCCTCTTTAGTGCGCTAAATAGGGAAAACTGCTATTTGGGATGCAGACACCATCAGAGATGGTAGAGAAATCGAGACACCGCACTCCCTTATTTTTTTCTTACACTAACAGGAACCGTAACCATTTTTTTCCAATGGTAAAATGTCTGAGTTCATTTCTCCACCATCTTTTATAGCATTGCTTTGTGCTCCAGATGGCAAGTCCATATGAGGATCTGGTGTACTTGTGACGTTCTGCTCCATAGCCTCTGGAAGTGTTCAGACAGTGGCTGCTGCTGCAGCACCTATATATGCTTGGCTGCCAATGTCATTAAGAACATAAACAGTTTTCCACAGATTCTTTGGCATGGGTTCTTCAGTACTTTAGGTTTCAGATGTCCTGCGGTACACTGCCAGACAGCTCATTTCCTGATATAGGAGAGCTCTTGCTCTCTCCCAGAAGGTTATCTTTTTCTGAACGAGCAGAGACTCCCATGAGACGCACAGGGAGTTTGTTAACATCAGCATGTTCCTCATTGTGTTTCTAAATCACCACGACTGCATCCCAAATGGCTCCCTATATAGTGCACTACTTTTGACCATGGGCTCTGGTCAAAAGTAGTGCACTATATGGGGTGCCATTTGGGATGCATTTTAAGAAATCTACTCCAGCCTCTATATATAGTATTCCAAGAGTCCATCTTGAATAACTATTTATTTACATGACTGTGAAGGAGAGACCTTGACTTGGAGTAGACTCTCTTAATATAGTGTATTTAACTGTGAAGCAAGTAATGTAATGTCTTTTTGTTCATTTGCCATTCCATTCAAACTTCCAATAGCCTGCGCTGATTGACGATTGCACACACCCAACTACTAGTTGTCTTGTTAATAGTTTATTGGTTGTTGGTTGTTTCATTTCACACTGGCGGACTGACACAGGCGCACATGATATTAGCTAATGAAGGAATGTAATTTTTAACCTGTGTGTCAGAAGTGTTTGGAGAGTCCTCCAAGCAAGGTGATGTTTTTACTGCTAATGGTTTTTACTTGCTCTGCATTTTTTAAATAAATGAAGTAATTTTGAACCTCTATCTGTTGTTTTTAAGCCTTTTAACTGTTAGAGTAGGCCAGCCCCCCACGATGACAGTCAACTGGGGGAAAGTTAACTGTTGTTGGTTCTCTTCGCTTAGTGTGCTGTTCAGTGAACTACTCATGTTCCTGTTCTGTAAAAAGTAACCCTGCAAATGTTGTTACATTTCAGCTAAGAAAAGTGCCAAGAGGACGGAACCTCCAAATGCAGTTGACATCAAGAAGCCATCGGCCCCTGTATTTCTCAGAGGTCTGAAGGATCTAAAAGTCATGGACGGTAGCCAAGTCATCATGACCGTGGAGGTGACGGGTAAGAGAAGGCCTCTCCCGGGTCGTATTCATTAGGCACCAAACGGAAGAAAACAGACTGAAACAGGGGGGGGACTACCTGGACTAGTCCAATAAGAAGTGCTTTTTTTTCACTGTTAAAAAATAATTGCCTATTTTTGCTTTACGTTGAAAAACATTTTGCTGTGGTGCACCCCAATGAATACAACCCTGGTGGGTGTCTCGTATTGGCCCTCATTCCCATTAACCATTCGTTTTGTTTGTTTTCAGCGACTGTTTGCTTTAGACGCTGGTATTTCCTGCTCGGCCCCCCAGAGATACTTGTTTGGTTTTCGGGTGTTTTCCACATTTGCATTTCCTTCCAATGTTTGACCTGAGGAGATGGGTTGACTCTCAGAGTATTATCACTTATTATTATTATATAATCTTCATCATCCAACTGAGGTTGTTTGCATGGGGGAGTAGTCGCTAGTAATACGCTGTATGATTTACATTATTCTAGGGCTAGCAAGAAACGCAGGAGCGTTTCTTGCTGTATTTTCTTATGAAGATTTATGATAGCAGTACTCCACATGCATTTTATTTAGATCATGCCTATGTGAAAAATGCATACAATTATGCAAGACAATTGTATATCATAGAATGTGTTATGTAATACAACCCTCATAACACCATGTTACTGTAGGGCACACTTTAAAGTGATAGTTCACCCAAATTACAAAATGATATATTAGTTTCCTTACTCAGTAAGCTGTCTGTGGACAAAGGTAAGACCGAAATCCATGCTTTGGTTTTGTTTACCTGGCCACTGTCTCCAAATGCTTACTTTTTTGCATTTTTGTCCAAAAACCAATGCAAGTCAATATTCCATATTAGCATTTTTCGTGTTTCATATCCAAATCAGGGTTGGGGTCAATTCTTAATTTCAGAATTCAATTAAATCCATTAGTTGAAATTTGAATTGGCCACACCCTACAGGAAGCAGAATTTGAATTAGAGGAAGTAGAACCAATTCAAAGAAATTCGACTGACATATGAAACATACAGTGGGGAAAAAAGTATTTAGTCAGCCACCAATTGTGCAAGTTCTCCCACTTAAAAAGATGAGAGAGGCCTGTAATTTTCATCATAGGTACACGTCAACTATGACAGACAAATTGAGAGAAAAAAATCCAGAAAATCACATTGTAGGATTTTTAATGAATTTATTTGCAAATTATGGTGGAAAATAAGTATTTGGTCACCTACAAACAAGCAAGATTTCTGGCTCTCACAGACCTGTAACTTCTTCTTTGAGGCTCCTCTGTCCTCCACTCGTTACCTGAATTAATGGCACCTGTTTGAACTTGTTATCAGTATAAAAGACACCTGTCCACAACCTCAAACAGTCACACTCCAAACTCCACTATAGCCAAGACCAAAGAGCTGTCAAAGGACACCAGAAACAAAATTGTAGACCTGCACCAGGCTGGGAAGACTGAATCTGCAATAGGTAAGCAGCTTGGTTTGAAGAAATCAACTGTGGGAGCAATTATTAGGAAATGGAAGACATACTGATACACACTGATAATCTCCCTCGATCTGGGGCTCCACGCAAGATCTCACCCCGTGGGGTCAAAATGATCACAAGAACGGTGAGCAAAAATCCCAGAACCACACGGGGGGACCTAGTGAATGACCTGCAGAGAGCTGGGACCAAAGTAACAAAGCCTACCATCAGTAACACACTACGCCGCCAGGGACTCAAATCCTGCAGTGCCAGACGTGTCCCCCTGCTTAAGCCAGTACATGTCCAGGCCCGTCTGAAGTTTGCTAGAGTGCATTTGGATGATCCAGAAGAGGATTGGGAGAATGTCATATGGTCAGATGAAACCAAAATAGAACTTTTTGGTAAAAACTCAACTCGTCGTGTTTGGAGGACAAAGAATGCTGAGTTGCATCCAAAGAACACCAAACCTACTGTGAAGCATGGGGGTGGAAACATCATGCTTTGGGGCTGTTTTTCTGCAAAGGGACCAGGACGACTGATCCGTGTAAAGGAAAGAATGAATGGGGCCATGTATCGTGAGATTTTGAGTGAAAACCTCCTTCCATCAGCAAGGGCATTGAAGATGAAACGTGGCTGGGTCTTTCAGCATGACAATGATCCCAAACACACCGCCTGGGCAACGAAGGAGTGGCTTCGTAAGAAGCATTTCAAGGTCCTGGAGTGGCCTAGCCAGTCTCCAGATCTCAACCCCGTAGAAAATCTTTGGAGGGAGTTGAAAGTCCGTGTTGCCCAGCGACAGCCCCAAAACATCACTGCTCTAGAGGAGATCTGCATGGAGGAATGGGCCAAAATACCAGCAACAGTGTGTGAAAACCTTGTGAAGACTTACAGAAAACGTTTGACCTGTGTCATTGCCAACAAAGGGTATATAACAAAGTATTGAGAAACTTTTGTAATTGAGCAAATACTTATTTTCCACCATAATTTGCAAATAAATTCATTAAAAATCCTACAATGTGATTTTCTGGATTTTTTTTCTCATTTTGTCTGTCATAGTTGACGTGTACCTATGATGAAAATTACAGGCCTCTCATCTTTTTAAGTGGGAGAACTTGCACAATTGGTGGCTGACTAAATACTTTTTTCCCCACTGTAAGTCTCATTCCACTGGCAAATATTTTTGACAAAAGCATCTGCCACCTCTTACTTAAGCAATGAGGGGGGGGGGGGGGGGGTGCTATATGGCCAATATACCATGGTTAAGGGCTGTTCTTATGCATGATGCAACGCGGAGTGCCTGGACGCAGCCTTTAGCCGTGGTATATTGGCCATATCACAAATCCCAGAGGTGCCTTATTGCTATTATAAACTGGTTACCAACGTAACTAGAACAGTAAAAATAAAGGTTTTGTCATACCCATGGTATATGGTCTGATATGCCATGGCTGTCAGCCAATCAGCATTCAGGCCTCGAACCACCCAGTTTATAATAAAGAAAAGATACCATTTCAAATATTAGTTTGATTATAACTCCGATGTCTAACAGTATTTTGTTTGTATTTTTCCCTTGAGATGTAAGGTCAAAGATGGTAGATAATTGAAGACATCCCATAAAGGCAGTTCAGGTCTACTTAAAGGAAAGATTCATCCATTTTGAATGTTATATTGCATTTGTGCATCTCTGAGTGATGTTCTATCGATTTCCAGGGGTAATTTCATGTTTTCATGTGTATCTGAGCTAATTGCCATTCAAGCAGGCATAAATACAGCCAGGAAATGACCCTAGGAATTGATAGAACATCGCTCGGAGATGCACAAATACGATATAACATTCAAAATGGTTGAATTTTTCCTTCTAAAGGGGTGGCTCTCCCATAGGCAATAATGCAATAGTAGTTGGTCTGGTCTTAGTTCATTGACTGTATATGAACCAGAAAAAAGGTGTGCATAACACATGCATAATGATGTATTGAATAAATTATCCATTTGAATTTCATTGAATTAAATTATACTTTTTATTCCAATTCTGCTTCCTGTGGGGTATGGCCAATTGAATAATTGAATTGGAATTAAAGACTAATTCGCAACCCTGGTCAAAACCATCTTAAAGTAGCTTTATTGATCTACACAATCAATTTTAGACACTTTGAGATGATTTGGACTTGAAACACAAGGTTTAATGTGACATTTTGTGGTCTTAGGGAATCCACATCCAGAGATTGTGTGGCTCCACAATGGGAAGGAGATCCAGGAGTCGGAGGACTTCCACTTTGAGCGGAAGGGGAACCAATGCAGTCTGTTCATCCAGGAAGTCTTCCCTGAGGACACTGGGAAATACACCTGTGAGGCGTGGAACGAAGTAGGAGAGGTTCGCACTGAGGTCTCACTCACTGTACAAGGTAGGCTAGTAGCCTAGGTGAAATTGTATGTATTAAACATCTCTAGCAGATGTAGTTTATGCCTAAGGTTACAAAATCCGGGTGACTTTCCCCAAATTCCCAGGTTATCCAGAAATCCCGGTTGGAAAATTCCTGGAATCAGGACTGATAAACTGGAAATCCGAGAATTCTCAAACTTGGATTTTCTGGAAAACCTGGGAATTTTTTGAAAAGTTACCAGAATTATGCAACCCTGTTCATGCCATAATGACCTGTTGGTTATCCATGTCTGTCGTCCAGAGCCCCAGGACGGGGTCCAGCCCTGGTTCATCACAAAGCCCAAGCCCACCACTGCCTACCTGGGGCAGAATGTCCTGCTGTCCTGTGCCATCGCTGGGGACCCCTTCCCCCAGTGGAGCTGGATGAAGCAGGGCCAGGTGGTGACCACTGACCTGGACTATGAGATACTGCAGAAGGAGGATGTGGTGTCCCTGCTCATTAGACGAGTCAGGTCCCACCACGCCGGGGATTACGAGATCATCCTCAGGTAGGCTTCTGCATCCCAAATTGCACCCTATTCCCTATGAAGTACATTCCTGGTCATCTGGTCAAATGTAGGGCACTTCATAGGGAATAGGGTGCCATTTTGGGACATACTGGAGTGGAGGACTCCTTATACAGTAGATTACTCACTTCTGTAGTATCTGGAGAAGGAGCTGTTTATGTTGGAACACAGTAACAATGTAATTTACAGTATAACGTACTATAAGCTACTACTACTTGTACGCCTCTGACATCTTATGGAACATTTGAATGTTTAACTTTAAATCTGTTTTGATTGGTTATTATAATACATGGGTTAGGGTTACATGTTGAAAAGTAATGTTAAGGTAATCTAAAACCAGCATCACTGAGACACAAAAACCCTCTTGATGCTGTCCTTTTAGAGGGATTTGGTCTGAAAGGACCAGTTAAATTAAAACACCCCCTCCCCAGTTTTCCATTCCGTTTCTCATCCTCTCTTCTAGGAACAAAGTGGGTGACTGTAGTTGTGTTGCCGCTCTGGTGGTCAGTGAGGGTGCAGTGGTGTCCAGTGGAGAGCACCAAACGTATGTAGCTAGCTAGCCTACTACTTCACTGTCAAGGCCCCTCAGCCTGTGCTATTTTTGACTTCCCTTCTCCCCCTCCCCAGACCCCAGTTTCAAATCCGCTTAATCCCTGAATATAACCAAATAAATAGTTTACAGTACCTCCTCCAGCTGTGCCATTGTTCAAAGCCTGGGGGCTGGGGCCCCGTTCAGGGTGCATGCCCTTATAAGGCTACTGAAGTCATCTCTGATGTAACATGTTGAGTTGTGGTTTCCCCCCAATTAACCAGTGGAGGCCGGCCGGGGCTTTTAAACGACCCCTGTTGTTTTCCTCTTCCGCACCTCTCTCTCACTGTGCTGCTGCAGCCCTGAGCCTTGTCAGCGTGTGGGAGGAGTGGACGGGACAGTGCGAGGCAGAGGAGCACCAAGCAGCAGCACTAGCAACAGCTCCATTCAGCAGCAGGGGTCAGAAGAGCCTAGTGCAGCCCGAGGACTCCTGAAGAGGCGCGTGGAGACCAAGGAGCACCGCGAGGACCAGATCCGCCTGCAGGAGGCTGAGCAGCGTGACTTCCGCACGGTGCTGGGCAGGAAAGTCACCACCAAGAGCATCTCCGAGGAGGACCTGAAGGAGATCACGGCGGAACAGATGGACTTCAGGGGCCAGCTCCAGCCCAGAGGGGTCAAGCCCCTGTCTGAAGATGAGAGGAAGGTCAACGCTCCTGCGCAGGTGGACTTCAGAGATGTCCTGGGAAAAAAAGGGGGCACAGCCGCCACCTCCCTGAAACCAGGCACCGCTCCTACCGAGAAAGGGGAGCCTACAGATTTCAGATCGGTTCTGGCCAACAAGAAGAATCAGAGGAGCTTGGAGAAGAATGGGGAGAGCCCTGCTCCAGCAACAACAACACCGAAAGACCCTGTTGCCACTGAGAAGGAGAAGAACGCCATCAACTGCGTGGCTGGTGGGATTATAGATAAGAGTAACAACATTGGAAAGGAGCCTTCGTTCAGTCAGAACCTGAGTGATATGAGCGTGGTGGATGGGGCTTGCCTGAGGCTACATTGCCAAGTGACCTGTGACCCCCCAGCTACTATTACCTGGACTCTAGACGGGAAGGTCATCAAGCCCTCCAAGTTCATCAAGCTGTCCAACGAAGGTAAGTATGTGGCTCGCTACTAGGCCGACCATGGCTGCGTCCCAAATGGCACCCTATTCCGTTTTTATAGTGTACTACTTTCATAGTTCACTACATTGGGAATAGGGTGCCATTTGGGACGCATCCCATTTAATTAATGTATTGTTCATGTGTTTGAGGAGGCTTGGCTTCTAATATTAGAAAGTAGTGTGTCTGACAGACAGTGATGTGACAGAGTATCCCCTCTTGCACCGATGCATTACAGGCATTTGATATGGGATATGATGGAAACATATCCCTTTACATAGAGGGAGTCGATGTTATCATAGCGCTGATATGTTTTGTACTGGGTGTTTTGTAATCGTTTCCTTGTAAAAAGCCCCACATTTTAAAAGGTGGTATAAATAGAATATAGAGTAAGAATGGCAAAAGGATTCCCTGTTTCTGGGCTCCTGGGTGTCCCTGACACACCTACAACATGTCCCAAATGGCACCCTATTCCCTAAATTGTGCACTACAAAAGTAGTACACTACATAGGGAATGGGGTGTCATTTGGGACACGTACATCCATAATCCCTGCTCTGTTATTTGAGGTAGTTTGATGTGTTGATGCAGATGCCTGATACTCTGGCCGTCTTGCCCCAGTATAAGTCAGTCCAGTTAGAGTGCATCTGTATGGGGATAACAGTTAGTCCATAGTTTAGGTTTGTCCTTGTGGCAGCAGGGGGTAGGGGGTTGCTCTGGGCCCATAGCTTGACGATAACAACAGCAAGTTGCCTGTCTGTTATTGAGTGCAACCGAATGACGCCCTGGACCAGAGCTAGGGGTAAGGGCTAAATAACAAGATGATCAACGGGCAGCAGCACAGTAACATAATAACTAGGCACACTGCTCAACCGCCAGCTGTTATTTCCTGTCAAACAGCCCCATATCCAAACCGTCACACAGCCAAGTCGGGGCCTTTTGTAATGAAATAATGGAATCATATCTAGGTGACCCTCCAGGTCATGTTTATTCAAATTTTAGTGTCACTGTGGGTCATGCTGAAGAATGCATAGCTTCAGGCTCTGAGAGGGAAGTTTTTGATTTTTCTCATTTACGTCCCACCATAGCAAATGTAGTATGTGAGTTATGTCCTCATGGAGCCGTAGGTTGGTAATGGAGGCTACTCTGGCTACAGTTGTCTGTGTGTACTGTGGGCCACTGTGGCTGGGTGTGTGTACTGTGGGCCACTGTGGCTGTGTGTGTGTGTACTGGGGGCCACTGTGGCTGGGTGTGTGTGTGTACTGGGGGCCACTGTGGCTGTGTGTGTACTGGGGGCCACTGTGGCTGGGTGTGTGTGTGTGTGTACTGGGGGCCACTGTGGCTGGGTGTGTGTGTGTGTACTGGGGGCCACTGTGGCTCTGTGTGTACTGGGGGCCACTGTGGCTGGGTGTGTGTATGTGTGTACTGGGGGCCACTGTGGTTATGGTTGTGTGTGTGTGTGTGTACTGGGGGCCAATGTGGATATGATTGTGTGTGTGTACTGGGGCCACTGTGACGAAGTTTCCTTTTGTACTGGGGCTACTCTAGCTAAGGTCCTCTGTGTGTGTGTGTGTGTTTTCCTGCAGGAGGCCTGTGCTCCTTGACCATCGACAAGGCCCTGCCCGAGGACGAGGGCCAGTACAAGTGCCGGGCGGAGAACTCGGCCGGTAAAGCAGAGTGTTCCTGCATGGTGCTGGTGGATGGTGAGTTGTTCCAGGCTGCCATGACCCACTCCCATGAGTCCCCCTTAGCCTCCTGGCCACCCCGGCGTCATCCCAGGCACTTCCTGCAATTACAGCGGCCAGATTAGCCGAGCTGGAGTCCCTGTTCCAGGCTCCCACTGCACGTCCGCCTCTCCCAGCCCCCCAGCACTCACAAACAGGCCTGGATCAAAACATTAGGCAGGCACGCACGGTTCAATCCTAGTTTTAGATTCATTCGCAATACACATTAGTTGAACTTTCGCATACTTCTACTACTGTTGACGTCAATTCAAAAGTATGAGATTATCCAAAGTGATTTAGCAAAGCGAGTCGAGATCAAATGTTTTGCAAGAGAGACAAAGATAGATACAGGGGCATATCTCAATGATTCAGTCCACTTTAAATAGTCCATTGGAAATCATTGCATTTTTAACATGACTGGTTCATTTCATGAATGGTTCATTGTCCATATGGTCTATACACATTTGACATTGCTCGTTCTGATATTCTTTATTTGTACTTTTGGGATTATGCGCATTGTTTTGGATTACTGCACTATTGGCGCTAGAAACACAAGCGACCAATACACTTTGTTGATTTCTAAAAACTACTGTAAGAGACTATGGTTAGTTTGTTGTTACTGATAAAATTCATAGGGATCATTTTTAGCATTAAACAAATGGAAATGATAATGTATGGGAATAAGTGGCCTGAAACATGTTTATTTTTCCTCTCCTGTAGATCCTACAGACACAAACTCGACAGCAGCTGACAAGAAGAGCAAGAAGCCATCCATCCCTACCTCCGAGAGTGAGTTTCCAAAATATGCTTATTTCCCAAAAAGGAGCGGCGTGGGATATGCCTTTCCCACTGCTGCAGCCTGCCTGCCTCCGCGAGTTGGGGCACTTTATAGCATGTGAACAAAAAATCTAATATATTTTCTTACCCTGTAATCGGCTTGCAGTATGTAGAGAACGAAGCACAGAAATAAGATGTAAATCGCGATCAGTAAATGTTTTATCTGAAGTGGGTTCAATTTACGCTACTGGAAAAGATTACTGAGAAGATGTGCTTATCTTAATAGTCATCTTAATCTTTCCAAGCTGGAGGAACGTGTAGGTAGTGATACAGAGTTATGTGCTATACCCCTGCACATTCTTTTCCATATGATTTAATTATGTAAGGTATTAGCCTGTAAAAGAAGCCAGCTGAATCCTCCTTCTGAATCAAGCATGCAGATCTCCCTTTACATAAAAGGCTTTGGATCAGGCACACTTAGTGCTGAGCATGAAGCATGTCCGTTTAGCCCTCCAGCCTGGATGGTTTCTTCCCGGGGTCAGAGGCCACTACGACACCCCTCTCCTCTGTGATGTTTGACAGAACTAATTGACTGCAGTTTGTCTTTAAGCCCAGGACACTCGCTGGCACTTAAAACAAGCCCAAGGAGGGAGGGAGAGGGAAGTCAAGCGGGAAAAAGAGGAGAGGGAGGGAGAGCGAGTGAGAGACCCTTTGCATGGCTGCCCCGCTTACTCAACCTCCTCTCCCGAACTTCCATGTAAGGCTTGCATCTGCCTGTTCCTCAGCCATCTCTTGATTCAACCAGACGCACATGCTCCGGCCTCTTTTTCCAATACTTGGAGGTTCTGCAGAAAATCTGCCAGCTTTGGGATACGCTTTTGTCCTGCTGGAATGTGGCCTGAGCCAAACAAGATCCAAAACTCAGAGCTGTAGGATAGTTTGGAGCATTTTAATAAAAGCAGGAGGCTGAGACCTGACATGAGAGCCCCAGATTTATTAAGGCTATTCTCTTTTTATGTTGGATTCCCAAGTAGGATAGATTTGAAACAAGTAAAATGTTTTCAATTCCGGTGTTGGCTAGAGTTGGGTATAATTCTGTTTTTAGAATGACTCATTCCCAACAATGTTCCCATGGGGTATTGGATGTCATGTGAAGCTATAACCCTGATTGTGATAGTTGGTGTCAATGCTTATACTGTAGTTCTTAAATATTGTTATTTTACATGGTACTAGAAAGCAAGCCTTGCTACAATATAAAGCAGTGGTGAAATACTGATTCATCACTGTGCCCAGCAAATAAAATGGTGCTAATTGACTGAATCCTGCAATGGCTTATTGTAGCTAAATGTAACATTCGTTTTATAGCTAAATTCTATAGCTAGAGGACTCCTGATATCCTCAGGAGTGATAAGTATAATTTTTGTCTTTATCTGTTGTGGTCTAGTACTGTCTTTTTGCTAGCTAGGGCTATCTACTTTAAGTGCTGCCTGTCTTCCCAGTGACCTACTTGGTGTGTGAACTGCTGACTGCTCATAATTTGCAGATAGTTGTTGACACATCAACCAGGATCAAGGGGCAGAGCAATTTGTGACTTGTTTTGCTCCTCTCCTAAAGAAAGCAATACTCGACTCATCTAACGTCAAAAACTATAGACCTGTATCCCTTCTTTCCAAAACACTTGAGCGTGCTGTCTCTGATCAACTTTCTCGTTATCTCTCTCAGAACGATGTTCTTGACCCTAACCAGTCAGGCTTCAAGACTGGTCACTCAACCGAGACTGCTCTTCTCTGTGTCACGGAGGATTTCTGCACTGCCAAAGCTGACTCTCTCTCCTCTGTTCTCATCCTCCTAGATCTATCCACTGCCTTCAACACCATGAACCATCAGATCCTCCTCTCCACCCTCTCAGGGCTGGGCGTCTCAGGCTATGCACACTCTTGGATTGCATCCTACCTGGCAGGCCGCTCCTACCAGGTGACGTGGAGAGGATCTGTGTCTGCACCACGTACTCTCACTACTGGTGTCCCCCAGGGCTCGGTTCAAGGCCCTCTCCTTTTCTCTCTATACACCAAGTTACTTGGCTCCGATATATCCTCACGTTGTCTCTCCTATCATTGCTATGCGGATGACACTCAACTACTTTTCTCCTTTCCCCCCTTCTGACACCCAGGTGGTGACACGTATCTCTTTGTGCCTGGCAGATATCTCAACTTGGATGTCGGCCCACCACCTCGTGCTCAACCTCGACGGAACTGCTTTTCCTCCCAGGGAAGGCCTGCCCGCTCAAAGACCTCTCCATCACGGTTGACAACTCAACAGTGTCGCCCTCCCAGAGTGCAAAGAACCTTGGCGTGACCCTGGACAACACCCTGTCGTTCTTTGCAAACATCAAAGCAGTGACCCGCTCCTGCAGGTTCATGCTCTACAACATCCGTAGAGTATGACCCTACCTCATACAGGAAGCGCCGCAGGTCCTAATCCAGGCACTTTTCCTTTCCTGTCTGGACTATTGCAACTCGCTGTTGGCTGGGCTCCCCGCTTGTGCCATCAAACCCCTGCAACTTATCCAGAACGCAGAAGCCTGCCTGGTTTTCAACCTTCCCAAGTTCTCTCATGTCACCCCGCTCCTCCGCACACTCAAACCCTACACCGCAACCCGAGCACTCTGTTCTGCCACCTCAGGTCTCATGGCCATCCCACCCACTACGGGAGGGCAGCTCCCGCTCAGCCCAGTCCAAGCTCTTCTCTGTCCTGGCACCCCAATGGTGGAACCAGCTTCCCCCTGAAGCTAGGACAGCAGAGTCCCTGCCCATCTTCCGAAAACATCTGAAATCTTACCTCTTCAAACAGTATCTTAAATAATCCTCCTCAACACTTAACCAGCACTTGCGCTTGACCCCACCCCCCCTTCTAGCTCTGACTCTACTGATACCTACGTTGAGGAACAATGTACTTTCTATGCCTGTGATATGTGTTTGTCCTACCTAGCTATCTTAAGATGAGTGCACTAACTGTAAATCGCTCTGGATAAGAGCGTCTGCTAAATGACACATGTAAATGTTTTGATTCAGATTCTCATCCAGATGCATGGTCGTATTACTTCCAAGTGCTTCAGAGAGTGGGCTATTGATGGTATCAGCCATGTTATGGTTTTTATAAAGCAGTCCCTGTTGCTCGTGCTTGTGTGTTATCTAACTACAGTCACAGAGCGTGGTGAGCCATGGGAAATGTGTCAGTGGTGTAGTGCTATGAAAACAAGCAGCTTTTACATCCCCGCTGGAACCCCTAACCCCTACTATCCTAACCCCTACTGACTCTAACCCCTAAACATTTATTTAACTTGAGCTCGGGGGCACAGTCCAGCACTGCAGGGTCCTGGAGAGCTCAGAATGCACTGTCCCATCTGGACGCTCAACCTCTCCTTTACCTCATATCAAACTGCTTTCATCTGTGCCTCTATTCCTTTCGACAGCCTGTAACAATGCTAGACAAGTGAGATGTAATGTTCTCCCTCTATTATGACGGATATGGTGCTCATCAGGTAATTCAATGGTTTTGGAGCTGCTGTTTCTCTAGATGCCGTGTAATTCTTTTTTAAAAGGATTGTGACACAGGCCTGTGCAATGCAATGTCTCCACATTGTCTAAACACAATGAAAGTAGAGGGAACTGACTCCAAGCCTGTGAGAAGGAACCAGATCAGGGGTGCACATCCCTCTGTTGAAGGGTTAAGGCCAGACTTCTTTTGACAGCTTCAACACGTCTCTGACTGGGTAACATGGTGCAACTGCTCTACAGCTCACAAATTGACCATGAGCCTTCAAGGCTTGATATCCTGGGTGCTGGCATAAGAACGGTTTAGTAGCAAGTAGTTGAGAATTCTCCACTCCACGATATGTACATCACATCTCAATGGATTGTGTCCATTGTATCGCGTCCACATGCTTCCCATCCGAAACAGTTCGGAACAGTGCGTATATTATGATGACATTTTGTGACGTTTTGGTCTTCGGCAAGGTTTTTTTTCAGCTGTTCGTGTACAAATTTAACGAGGCAAGCCAAAGTCTATGCCCCTTCGTTGATTGGTCAACAGTAGGGATTCTTCAATAAAGTTTGTCATTCATGGAGAGACTAATTGTTTTCATGCAAAAAATTTCACTTGAGCAAAACTGCACCAAACATCTTAGTTGGATGTAAATTTGTGCGACTAAGACCACCTTGACAAAAACGTCAACATGTAATGAGATTTCTTGAGGTACACTACATGACCAAAAGTATGTGGACACCTGCTCGTCAAACATCTCATT